GACATTCTGCATAGAGATAGAAGCTGTGATAGTGTGTTACTCTTAGAGATACAAAATTTCCAAATCTGGTTCGGTTTCAGTGACCTAAATAAAGACTTACAGGATTATGACAAAATGGGTATTTTTTTAGGAAAATATCAAAGGGAAAATTACTTTGTCAAATCTGCTCCCATTCTCACCTCAAACTAACCTGCCTACTTCCTAAAATACTACTTCTCTCCTCTCTGCTCTCATCTGCCACTTCCTGAGCAACAGCTGTATCAAAGACACTTTTTCTTCTCTGTTTCTGTTCTGTCTAAAAATAAAGTCATTAACCTGCAGGTGGTGAAGCCGGCGGCTGGCATGACAGGCCCTGATGCTGTCAGATGCCCTCTGACCCCGTGATGTGACTGCCTGCCACAGTATTGACAGGACAGCAGCAAGACATGCTTATTTCTGAGGATACTTTCTCATCCAGCATGACGTGGCTGTAGACAAACAAGAATGTTTCTGTTGTATAGCTTTGTTTGACAGTGGGTAAAGGGGATGGATGGAGGCAGTGTATGTGTGAGTGTTTATGTCTGCCTCACTCTGCAGCCAAATCTGCGAGAGTGAGAATGAGCTCTAGAGTGGACGTTGGAAGGCTTTAAGAGGTGCAGACACACTAATGTAGCCAAAACTTTCAGTTTCCACTCCCCCAAGACAAACTACTGGAGCGATGTGTGGAGAGAGGCTGTGAGCGAGGGAGGGAGAGAAAGAGATAGGGACAGAGAGGAAAGGCTAAGCAGAAGAGAGTGGGAGGGACAGAGGGGAGGGGGGTAAAATAAGGATCATATGTTTCTGACAGATCTCATCAACTCACAACACATCATGGGGCCTCTACCGTAACACATTTATTACAGACAAAACACAGGTTCACAGGAGGGGGTTTACACTGTATGTGTGCACTGTAGCATATGTGTGCATCTTTAAAGGAGGCGTGTGCACTGTTGTGTTCATAGAACAGGTGTGTGTGCATCTGTGGGTGCGTGCATGCATTTGTGGGAGCCTATTTTTGAATGTTCACATGCATGTTTGTGTGTGTAGGTGTGTGTGTGTGCATATTTCAGCTAGCCTCCACCTGAATGGCCCGAGGCTTTGATGCCGGAGTTGTTAGAAGACAAACAGAGGCACAGGAAGTCCAAGCCAGGAGGCCCTGAGGACAGCACGCACAATCTACTGCATACCTGCTCTTAACTTCACACACTCCCACTGTCAGTCATAGCCACCACCTCACCATACGTTTTGCCTCCTAAACCCACAAAACAGACACACCTCCTCTAACTCCCTCTTAGACACACACATTTAGGCTCAGCCTGTCCCTCAGGCCCACTGCTGTGTGCCAAGTCTGGCCTGGCATAGTCCTCAGAGGGGTGTCCTCAGGCAAGGCTTGCCAAGTCAAAGACTCTTTCATGTTCAGCCTGCACGCCCAGGGTAGTAAAGCTACAAACAGCAAGACACACACACTTTTACACACACACGGAAACCTATAAACATTTTAAGTGGTCAAAACCACACTTATACACACATAAATGTACACATTTACACGTACATTAGTTTCACAGCATCCGCACTCAAGATGTAAACACTCAGTAGACTTGAATACAGCCAGAACCACTAACATTTAATCCAACAACAAAGGCTGACGAATTTCCACTGACAACATTTGTGGGTGTTTAGAGCTTGGCTTCAGCATACAAAAATGTCCTCCATGAAAAATTCATCCTAAAAACCACTCCTGTTCACCTTCATTAAAACGTAGTGGAGCCCACTGCCAAAAATAGGACTGATTTTATCACAGCCCAAAGCGACTGTAGGATCAAATTAGAGTCACTTTTTACAGACAATGGAGTCCTTATGTTAAAATATTAGCTGGTGTCCAATCATTGCAGCCGCACACATCTTTGCCTTTTCAGTATCAATTAAAGTGATCACCCAAACAAAAGCACCGGATATAAACTTGCACAGTGACCCATATGTCTGCTGACGCATATGCACACTGGACACAGGAAAAGATATCGCTACCAAGGAGCCCCCCCACCCCCCACCGCCGCTACTAATGCACAATCTCCACGCACTGCCCAGCCCCCCAGTTCTGCATGACAGGCACCCTGTGTGTATATGTATTTGCTTGGTGAAGGAGGGGATATTGGAGAAAGGTGGCACAATGCCAATATGGAGCCTGCTAAATACCTTTGTCTCCACAACACACGGGGAGAAACAGGACAGGCAAGCTGCTGCAAGAAAATGCTCCACAGCCACAGAGGTGTTGCAAGAAATGCTTCTCTGTTGTTTGAATGTTTTCTTCCTCATAGAGAAAAAAGGGTGAAAGGTGGCTGCCGTAATTGACTCAGTATCGATTCAGAGTCCAGGTTACAATGGAGGCAGGGCGCTGGGAAGAAGCTGAAGTGTGAGATGGTGGTCGATTTCCACGGTTGCAGTGGCCTCATTAACACACGTGGCTACACTGGTGAGAATTCAAAAGGGTGCTAATGCTGGGATGGATAAATACAGGGCAGAACAATGTAGTAATAATACCTCAAAAAATGTGGTACAAAATTCATGCAATCTTTTCTTGTAATTTCTTGTAAATAGGTCAAGAAGAAGACAATATGCACTGTGGTTGTGTATCTAATTTATAAAGACTAGACTCTAATTTATTTATTGTGCTAATAACAATTGCGTTTACTCCATGAAATAATTAATGTAAATGAAAACTTTGAATCCACTTTACCGGTTTGTCTCTTTAATAGCAATTTTATGCTGGGAAATAAAAGCAGCTTTATACGCTGCAATCACATTTGCTTGAGAAGCCATCATCTGCTCTATTTCTGGGACAACCGTGGTCTGTAGACAAGCTACGATGTCTCTATGCATATCTTTAATTGTTTATCATGCAAATGACGGTACGCAGGCTGCTCTGTCCTCGTCTAACAGCTCAGAGCCCCAGACTGCAGACCCAAACCCCAGCTGCAGTCATGAGACTCCCAGACGGCCTCAGCTGTCCTGTAGAGACAGACTGAGGGGCACAGCTTCATCTCGAGCTATCGGTCTATTACGTACTGCCCCTAATTCCTCAGCCCTCACCCTTCTCATATCCCCCCACCTACAAGTTCAGCCATTCTGGGTGTCAGCTCTCTTTAGTCAAGCAGCAACTTTCCTTAACCTAGCTCGCTGCCTTCGCAAACTGCTGTCCATATGGAAATCCGTCCGTGTCAAGTGATATTTCAGGAGTGGGGTGGAGATTGGAAGGGTCACTTTCATTTGAATGATGCAGGGGAGCAAGATGCAGGGAAATCTTTAAGGGTGTAATTCATCATACACTCGCCTGGATTGGATTGGGCTTGAGGCATGTGTAGGAACAGTATATATTGAGATGCCTCAGCTCAGTGTCAGCCTCTAACTGAGCAGGGTAAGAGAACATGGCAGCTAGCATATGGAGTATGGGGTGGCGCGCTGGCACTGCCAGTCTGTATCCATCAATCTTGGACAAAAAAAAAAGCGGTGGGACGAGGCCGTCTTATATGCAATGCATGTATAACTGATATGATGTCCTGCACAGACTCTGCAGCACAGACTGTTAATTTTGACCTCAGATTTTATAACAGGATGATAACAAAAGGTGAGGTGAGGCGTCATAACAGGATGCAATCTTGCACCACATACAGTCAATTTAACCTATTCATTATTAACCCAAGGAAATCCTGACTGTTACACAATGTCCAAAGAAATGAGACCTATAAATAAAGCTCTTCGCACAGTGTTAGTGACCTCATGATATCATGTGAACTCCATTGCACGATGATCCAAGTGAGCAAGGAAAGGCGTGTTCGAACAGCTGACAAGGCCAAGAGGCATGTCAGAAGAATGTGTGTTTTTTGAGCATGTGTGCGTCCATCCCAGTTTGTGGGAAAGATTTTCAACAAACCGCACACTAATGAACAGTGGTTATTCTGTATGGCAGAGTGCTAAAACATTGACAACAAATAACAGTAGCCCTTTACAATGCCATCTGCAAAGCCGAAGCGCTGACTAATACAGCACAGTAGTGCTCATTATTGAAAACTACCCTCTATGCATTCAGCCTGAATTGGCTTCAAATTCAATCACAACTGCCCAGGCAATCAGCGCAGTCTGGCACATGCTATCAGATCTGTTAAAGGAAATGAATAAACATCAAAATGGGCTGGTCAAAATCAAACTCCACTCTATAAAACCAGTCATAAGGGACCCATGCTTGTTTGCACAGCAACTCATGTTTTCACAACAGCCTCATTTAGCCCCAGTGGACAACCAACAAACCAACTAGCTGCCTTAAGAAGTCCTTAATTACTCAAATCAAGAAAAACACTGACAATTAGTGGCTGTAGTGTTCCTCAAATAAACAGTTCTTCCTTGACAGATCAACGTAATTACATTCTTTCCTATCTCTTTAATTTTAGAATCACAGTGAGCTTCAGCAGGCGCATATTTGAGGGTACAAGAGATATGGCAGTGTAATAAGCCAGGCAGGGATAGAGATACATCTCTCGCGACCACATGAGAGAGAATGTGAAGTCCAAAGGATCTGAGCACATCTGTGATGCAGCAACAAACCAAAAGAAACTGATCTCTTCTTTCTCTGTCTTTTTATAATCTGTTTCTTTGTCTGTCTCCATGCGTCTTTTTCGGTGCCTTTTATCAATATCCTTATTAATCTTCATGTGTATTCATGACTCTACTGAGGGAAATTCGCAACTCCTAAATGTAGCAGCAGACATTTCGCCGTCAGGTTACGCTGATTGGACACATCCTCACTACTAGAAGGGAAATTTCAGCGAGTATTTGTTGTCTTCTGTGATAAACTGCCTATGAACCTTAAAAGTGTGACCCACTCCACACAATCTAGAGCTTCAAGACTCTATTCACACTTGACTGCAAATTTCTCCTGCTCATCTGTTTACTCTTGCATGGCAGCCATGTTAAGCTTCCAGTGTGTTTACCTGTCATATTCTCCTGCTTAGGGATTATTCCTTGCAAGGGTGCAGATAAACAATCCTCATCCTGCGGTGACACCTGAACAGCCACCTCGACAGGTTGACGCACCCTCCTTTGGTGCTGATGTTGGGTCCGCGAGTGTGACGAGGATGTGGAAAGAGGAGAGGCGAGTGGGGAGGATGGTGGCCTGTCCAGAGGTTTGTCCACACAGAGGCTACCGTGGCACTGCCTCCGTTTGTGTTCAATGAAAAGCAGGATGTCAGCTAAGGGGAAGCGAGAGTGGCACTGGCCGCAGGTCAGCAGGTCCTGGTCCCCTTTTAGGGGCTCGCCCTGAGCCACTCCCAGGCTGGGGGAGTCCTGAGAGTCTTCTTCTGGTAAAACACCTGAGAGCGGCTCAGCTGGATAAGGAAAAGAAGAAAGACAGTTGTGACATATAGTGAAGCGAGAATTGATATTTTTCTGCGTTTACATACACTGTTATTATATTTTCTTGTAAAGGAATAAGGCCGAGGAGTATATGTGCAGATGGGATTTTTAGGAAAGAAAGAAGGCAGAAAGGAAGAAAGAGCACACAGACAGCTTCGATAAGGACTGACATGTTCAGCTCGCAGGCAGCAGTCAAACGATTAAGTTGCTTGACCCTCTTTATTGTGCTGCCAATCTCGCTTTTTTAATGAACCTAACACCTCTGAGAATCAAAAAATAGATTCTAATTTGAGTTCAAGATGATTGGACCCCATTTCGTTAAAAGTGCTGGGATCTCGTGAACCAAGGTTAGACATTGAGGGGTTGGATGTGGAGTAGGTCCCTGAAGTAGAGCGAGAGAAAGAGAGAGAGAGAGAGAGTGAGCAGAGAGAGCATTTTAAAAGAAGTCATCTAGCCACATGGTAAACGACACTTGGCGCCCCGACTGGGATGTTGAGATAAGATGTGATGAATTCTTGCCGCCGGTTCAAGCTTTAATTCTATATCAGGTCAGATGAGAAGGTGGTGAGGGACTATGCAAGATAGGCCCTGTTACTTGTATGTTGAGTTGCATTAAAGATGAGGGAATTCACCCCTATTTTACTTATCTTAACCAGCTTATGCCATGGACACATACAAGGTGTATGAGATTGGTTTAGGTGGAAAGATTTTCTTCAAACCAAATAATCTCATTCTGATGTCAAGCAAGAGTGATGTGAATAACTTTGAAAGCTAAAATATAATGTGTTTTTTTTTTCTGATATCACACTGTGCTAGAATTTAAAGTAGTTTAGGCGAAGGTTTCCCACTGGGTTACAGCAGCAGGTCTCTTCCACTATCAGAAAAATCATTAGGTCTTTTTTTACTGTTTTAGAGTATTATGACTCCCTGTAATACCGGCAGATCATTCATTGTATTCTACAGTCCCTCGTTGAAAACACCAAAGGGATTATTTTCATTTTAAAATAAATGCAAAAATTAAAAGGAAGTGCCTATTTAAATTTCTAATGGTGCCTTTTTTGCAACACGAAAGCTGACAGGTAGCACTAGAACAGAATTTTGCAGTGTTTTCATGCAGTCTTATTTATTTTGCAATAATTTTAAAAAAAAACAATTAATATTCCAAAGTAAATTAAACAGATTTGGGTCATAACCAATAACAGAATTATACTGGTCAAAAGCAAAATCTTCATGTCATTAAACAAAAGCATACTCTTTGGTCATTTTTTCTTCATAATTTAAGGTCTGTAACTGTTTCTTTGTAAACACTTTATTTCTGGATCCTCTTTGAATGTGGGGAATATTGTACCTTTAGTGTACCTTTAGAAAAAATATGAATACATTCAAGAGAACATAAAATATGTAATAACCTACTGCTGCTGAACCGATCCTGTGCATGAGCTTGGTCAAGCAGGACAGGATAAAGTGGATCAAGTTCAAGTTCACGAGTGGCCTGTAGGACTACAATCAAATTGCGCCCCCCACTGGCAACCCATCTGACAGCTTTCCAACAAATCATAGAATAAATGTTGCCAGAGCATAATTTGTTTCAGCGGCAATAAGAAGAGCATGCAGAAATATATACGAGAATAAAGATAAAAGAAAAGCACAGGTTGTTAATTTTGAACTCTAACTTACACTTAAACAGCCTACCTAGTCTGGAGACGTCTCCGCATTTACTGACGCGCGAAGAGTGCATTGATAAAGCAATATACTGATAAAGCTCTTAACCGACGAATGAAGCAAAATAATTCTTCGGCAAACAACAATTGGTCTAAACTGTGCAAAGAATGTGACATTCAATCAAAATCAATGCCCTGCAGTTTTACCATACACGCGCGTAAAACGACTGTCCTTCTTTTCTCTTCCTTCATCTCAAAACAGTGTCGCGCACGGAGATTTCTGCGTATTTATGCAATTTATGGATACAAATGGATTGGATATGCCGTGTTTAAACGCCAGCGGTGAAAAAATTGTTGCAAAGAAACTGCATTCCTTGTAGGTAACGCACACGAGGTCTTTGCGCTTCGGACAAGTGTGTGTGTGTGTGTGTCTGTGTGTGTGTGTAAACACCACTTCCCCGTGTCCAAACCAACTAGGACCTTTGTAAATGCATTTTTACAGTTAAAAAGGACCTGCACTGTAGTAGTGCTGTGGCTTCAAAAGGTGCACATGGAAACTTAAGTGAATGGTAGCAGTTGTAACTCTGTGCCGCCTTCATATAGGCAAAGGTCTCTGGCCATAAAGCTCATGCATGCCCTTTAATGGCGAAAGAAACCTTGAAGGCTGTGTTATACAACGCGTTAACCAACACAAGTTGAGCTTCCCTGTCACGCTGCTCCAAAACTTCCTATAGAAGACCTCGTGATGATTATAAAGATAACCTGTAGTCTTGGATATGTTTGCGATTTGTCATTTTAGTCAGGACCGCGGTGGACGTATCCTAAGTATTAAAAGAAAGTTGCCGTATACAGAAAAAGATGGGTCACCGAGAGGAAAAACCAATGAAATTAAGTCGAAATGCAATGTATCTCCACTTACGCGAAAACTCCCGTTTGCTCAAGTGCTGGGGTTTGCCCTGCTTGCGGCGAGACATGTTGGTTTAGTGACGGATTTTCAGCTGAGTTCACATTGGGAAATCCTTTCCTACAAGGTAAACTCCAAATGAAATATCTTCATTGATGCGTCTGACAGCCAACAAGGGGGAAAAAAAGCAATGAGCTGCTGATCATACAGAGGGTGAGGAGTAGTGCGGTGCGGGCTGTGCGGAGCTCTTCATGACTTTTTTGCAAAGAGAGAGTGATGGGGGTATAGTGAAGCCCCCTGCGCTGCAAGTTCAAGTGCGGACGTGACGTTCTGCGAACTTGAACGTCAGGCGCTGGACGAACTGAGACATACAAAACATGGGCAGGGCGAAGGCGGCCAGTGGGAGGGGGACAAGTCATAATAAAAGCCAATGGACACTCATTATGGACTACCTATGGAAGAGAAGAGAAAAAAGGGAGACCCCGAAGACACCAATGGACGAAGGGGATCAAGGGGGCTGGGCTAAGAGGGAGAGCGAGGGAGAGAAAGAGAGACACTGTTTTACAAGGAAAGCAGTAAAAAGCGCGTGAACCAAAGAGCGTATGTAACAAGGATGTAGTGGTGGATAAACCCAGCTCTTGCACTACTCGTGTTTATTAGTTGTTGTTGTTGGGGGGGGGGTTTCAAGCCACTATGAATATGCAGTCTTTATGCAAATTTACAGTGCAGACTGGAAATGTCATTAACACTGAATAAAGTGTTTTTATTTCAGTCGGCCTTCTTGAGCTAAACTAATTGAAATGTTATTCTCCGACAGGATGAACTAAACTCTGTTTTTTGTTGTTGTTGCTGAATTTGTTTAATTTGTTTGCTTTCTTGAGAAGTGGTGATAGACCGGCCATTCTTTCTGGGCTTTTGCCTTGTATACAGGGAAACCTAAAGTTAACTACCTGCAATTAAAATAATGTGAAATGAGATTCATAAATAGTTTTATATAATATACTTAAATATAAGAATATATTTAGATAATGTACGCGTTTTGTTTCGATGGTGGACGTGTAAAAGATAAAGAAAGGGAAAAAAGAAATTAGAGTTATAGTGTAACGTGCTTTGATTTACAAAACAATTTGTAATCTGTCAGCTTGTGTAATGCACCTGAGCCTGTATTCCAAAACTGAAGAGAAACGTGGATTTAACTCTTATCCACTCCAAAGGTCTAATTTATGTTACAGGTAAGCAACATTTCAGTAAAGCATTCTGAAATACTTAACAACAACAACAACAACAACAACAAAAGTAATATTATGCATTCCAGACCTAATGGAATTTTATAACTCACCGATAAAACTTAAGTCTCAGCTTCATTCATTCAGCTGTTGCATTTAAATATTGGGCCCATTCATTATGGCTGAAGCCAATGTGGGATTTTAATTTTTTCAAAGTTTTCCAGTGATCAGATTGGATTAACGTGTACAGTCAAGTGCGCTTGCTTTTAAACAAAGCTAGTAATTCATACCCTATACTCTCTCACCTGACCTTCGTATGTCGTTATGCAGTTACAGAACAGCCGAAAAGATGCTGGGCAATTATTTTTTCATTTATTTTGGTTTCATGATGAATAAAGTTTATTAGAATCGCATAAAATCCCCTTCTCTAACTTAACGCAAATAAAGCCGGAGGACCTTAACAGCACCCATACTTTTAGAAATGGTTTGCTTTTATTTTGTTGATTATATACTAGCTTCCTAATCAGGCTCAACAATTGAATTTACGTCGGCATCGAAATCACAGCACAGTACTTTGGCTCCATCTAGTGGTTCAACACAAGACTGACCTTTAATAGACTATCATAAGCTGTGTCCTAACATAATTATACGGAGCTGGAAACCAGTAGATTACTCACTCTAGCGCTTAATCTAAAACATTGAAATACTAACATAGCAGCTACATTGTAATTTTAAAAAGTTTCAATGCAAATATAATCAAATCGTATCATTTATATACAATGCATGCATTTAATTTCCTATTATTATACTTTCAGCGTTTCCAGTCTTACGACTGTAATTTATATGCCAACTCAATTTAATTATCGAGTCACTGCCCAAAATAAATGATCCATCATCCACCTAATATGGGCAACTCATGGTTCGCTGTCTATATTACATAACCTCATCTTTTCCTACATGAGCGCATTGCGCCACCTTGAGGCCAAGACACAGCAGTGTTGAAGGACCTAGGCTGGGCAGAGGGGTTGCAGGAGCAGCAGCAGCATCGCTGTTCATAACCTTCTACTCATCGGATGCTGTTTGCCCATAGAGCACCTGGTGAGAGACATTTTTGCCATTCTTTTATTTCCCTAACAGGCCTGCGCTGATGCCTTTGGTTGCTTCCTCTGATATAAGGATGAAGACAGTGAAATGAGCTTCGCTGTTTGTGCGACAGACCTATACGTCGCCCATAATGGTCGATCGTGGGATATCAGCAGGCAGCATCCTAAACATGATTTGGTTGGCTTTAAAGCACGTGATAACAGATATCTGTCTAAATTAGCCTGTGTTTGGCTTAAAAGGTGTGCGTAAAGGGATGTACTGAACGTGACAGATTAATGCACGCTTCAGATGACATGTCGCTAATAAATGTTAGACTCATTGTGGCCAGTCTTGTGTTTATCCTACAATCTGCGCGATATTGGGATGAAATTAGATGATACTTTTTGCTTATTATTCGCTGGTCTTTGCTATCATTCTTATATGGCTCCACGATGAACGCTGGACTGAGACATGGCCTAACCGAGCTAATTTTCAGGCTCAGTCATTGGCCGACTCTAACTCATCAGCTGCTGCCGCTTGCAGCCTCAGTTGATGTGTGGTCATTTGCAGAGGAGATTCATATCAGAGTGGGTGAAGCCGTGTGTGTGATCAAGCGTCTAAAGAGAAAATCTGGGCCACTAGGAGCCAGCCTACTGAAAGGATGGACCACGTAGTTCTCTATTGGGAGGTTGGGGGCTGTCAAGTCCCATTGGGCTTGAGCTGATGTACAAAAAGGAGCCTCACATATGACAACGTGTGCGTAATTAAATCTTACTAATTCACCTATGACTCTCTCGGAGCATGAGTCAGCAGGTCTGCCTACTAATAATGCAGAGAGGGGACGGGGTGTTTGTGTCAGTGAAAAGCGCTGTTGTGCTGTTTTGTGTGCATGAGAATCCTGACAACTGCCTGGAAATCATATGAGAGAATCATGGGGAGCAGAGAAGTGGATTTTCTATTTATGTCTGTATTTTCTCTGTTTCATTGACTTCCTGTGGTCGGTGTATATGCCTGTCTTCTGTTTGGGTCAGAGTTTCTGGATCTGATTGAATTAGCTGTCATATTACATGTTTTATTATCTCTTTCTTTCTAAGCCCCATCTCCCTGTCACCCTCACATGCACCCTCTTTTTGCACAGTATCTAACTATTCTTCCTGCTTTTTCAGTGGAGTGCGTTGTGAAGCTGATGACAGAACAATCCTGCTGAGCGACTCACTTTGGGAGTTTAGAAGAATGCCTGAAATACTGTAAGCTGTCTCTTTATTTTTGGAACTTACATTTTTTTTAAATTTCTTGTTGTTAGCTGCACTACATGGACTGATAAGCTTGCCAATGTCCTCGGGTGATAACCGAAATAGCTACTGTGCATATGACACACAAGCACACGCACAAATGCTGAAATAATTTTTGTTTTATGTAATTATATGAAACAGCATGCCTCACCCACTCCCGTTTACAGTATAAGAGTATATTTTTTTCATTGATCGAAGGATAAATATTTAATGGTCTCATTAATAGATTTATAGCTATAAACTGCAGTCTAACACTGTTCTTGTTTTCAGCAGGATGCATTAAGGGGCACATGTGAACTTGTCAGGCAGAGATGAGTCTGACTTCCTGGTTCCTGGTGAGCGGTGGGGGGACACGCCATCGTCTCCCCCGAGAGATGATCTTTGTAGGGAGGGATGACTGTGAGCTTATGCTGCAGGTACTGTACTGTGAATCCACCCGATATATGATCTGAGCTGTCATTCTTACTCTGACTGGATTTTTATCTGAAGCACTGAGATTAGTGAGGATTATAGTGATTGACTGGATCTTGTATGGTTTAGTCCCGTAGTGTGGACAAACAGCATGCTGTCATCAACTATGAGCCAAATACGGATGAACACAAAGTTAAGGACCTGGGCAGCTTAAATGGGGTGAGTGAATTTTTTTTAATTTATGTGTATGTGTCTTAAAGCAACCCCTGCCTAATGTTTTTTAATGCAATAAAATCTACATCAGTGTGTCCCAAAATTAAATATCAAACATTTCCCTGAAAGTATACCTTATTTATTCTTATTTATTCTTTTTCGGGCCGTGGCTTTCTCATCTTCTACTGCTTCCGTTTTTACAAATTTTTATTAGTTTCTCTTAAGCCCTCAGTATTCAAGGAAATGCATTACTTTGAGTACTAAATTGCCAGATTGCCCCTTAACTGCTTCAGCAATTTACTGCTTACAAAAGTAGTCGTGAACCTGTTCTAACATAATTTGTTTTTTTTCTTTGGATTTAAATTATTTTCCAACCCTAAATAAACTGAAAGACGTCATTTTCGGTAGTGCAAATATTATACATAGCTTATGACAGGCAGCTTGATGGTGCAGCGGTTAGCGCTGTCACTTCACTGCTCCTGGTTCAAACCTCTTAGTCGGCTGGGGCCTTTCTTTGTGGAGCTTGCATGTTCTTCTTGTGCTTCCTGTGAATCTGTGGGTTTCCTCCAAGTGCTCTGGTTTCTTCCCATAACCCAAAGACATAAATTTTATCCTAATTAGTGATTCTAAATTGACCGTGGGTGTGTGTGTGTTTGTCTGTCTATGTTCAGGGTCACACCCATGATCCTAATTTGGGTAAGAGCTTTAAGACAGATGGATGAAAAAAATGGCAGAGTACAAACATTTTTATGTGTGTACAGATGTTTCCCTGCTTAAATTCAACATGAAATAAGCTTTTTTTGTGTTAAATCTGGTTAGGATTGTGACTAAAGGTCTGGTACAAAATTGGCACTTGGTTCGTGTGTTATGGACAGCATCATTGTTATGCAAGCAGTACTGAGATTTCAGGAGACTTTAAATAATCTCACTTTTGTACAAAGTCCTCATATGTTGTTCCTAACCACATTGTTTCTTTGTTTGTTCCCAGACATTTGTCAACGATGTCAGAATACAGGAGCAAATCTATGTCACGCTGAAAATTGATGACAAATTGAGGTTTGGATATGATATCCTTTGAATGTGTTCTTG